AAAGTACAACGAATGGTCCCTATGGTTTAGTGTTTGTTACGCGCCTAGTCCCTAACTCCATTTTTTAACCATGCCAATCCTTAATAGTTTGGTTTAGTGCACGGATAGTCCCTCATCTAACCTTCCGTTTGATTTTGGAGTTAAAACCCCCACGTGCCTTGCACGTTGAGGGGTATTTCCGTCATTTTACTTATTCATCCTACCGCCAGTTTAAGAAATCGATGCGTTCAATTAAACGATCATACTCTACATTACACAATCGTATACCCAAAAAAACACACAACTTGTGCAAAATCCTTACGTGAAAACCCTAGTATCGACGACTGCAAGAACAAAGAATTGCAATGGTTTCTTGGCACATTCGTGGTGAAATGGATGAAATCGACGTTGATCAAAGTTATGGTATGTTTGATTGACTTTCGTTTGAATGATATTGACTGTTAAAGGTTTAATTTTGTTAGCTAAAAACGATTCTCTCCTCTACAGCTGGACATCCGACAATGTTTTCAATAAGAATGCACCATGGAGGTGAGTTTACAAGCTTTCCTGGAAGGAAGTATATTCGTGGGAAGAAAACATTTGTTGATTTACTGGACATTGATACCTTTTCCGTTCATGACATTGATGAGATGATGGAAGACCTAGGGTATGCTTCAATAGGTAAACCACTTTACTATCACTTTCAAAGGCCTTTAGGCGATTTAGATTTTGGGTTATTCGCTTTAGCTAGTGATGAAGATGTTCGTTATTTGGGGAGTTTTGTGGCTAAGCATAAGTTAATTGAGGTATATATAGAGCATGACAAAACTACTCTGCACACCTATTTAATGTCCCCAACCCACAGTAAAGTTCGTATAACGGAGATTACTGAACCTCCATCTTGTTCAAAGACACTGTTCCTGGAGTGGCATAGCACACCTGCTGTTGACTTGGAGGATGACATGGATCACATGGAGAAAGAATCGGGTAATGATCCTACACCCACTGGTCATCTGGAGAAGGATTTGGGTAATGATGCTACTGTCACTGATCATATGGAGAATGATTTGGGTAATGATGCTACTCTCACTGATCATATGGAGAATGACTTGGTTAATGATGCTAATGACTTTGGTAAGTTTGGTGAGTTAGAGAGTGACAATGATGAAAGTGATGATAGTGATTTTTTTGTGGACATTGAAAATATATTGGATGATATTAATGTGGATATGCAAGATTTTGAAATGAATATCGACAAAGATGTGGAATGGGTTGGAGGGTCGTCTAACACTGTGGTTGATGAAGGCACACAGGATGAAGCTTTAGAGGTGATTAACACTGACTTTTTAGCATCTGATTCATCATCAGATGAGGGGATTAATGGTCAAAGAAAGAAATCAATAAGAGCAATTCAAAGGGCACATGAGAATGATGAAGCACTTGTTAGTGAACCCTTCTATATTTTTCAAAAATTTGGTTCAGCAAAGGAGTTTAAGGATAAGGTAAAACTCCATGCCATAGAGACTAGAAGGGAGCTGGCTCTTGAAAAAAATGACAAGAATAGAGTGAGATGGGTTTGTAAGGGAACAATACCAAAGCTTGGGCCTAATGTAGAAGTCAACGATGAAGAAGAAATATGTCCTTGGGTCTTATTAGCTAGTAAATGGAAAAAAGATGTCAACTGGACAGTTAAAACGTACAACAAAGTCCATAAATGTCTTCAAACTAGAACAGTAAAAGCATGTACGTATAAATTCCTCTCTTCTAAAATTGTTGAACAGGTTGAAAGTAACCCTACTGTTCCAATTAGGGCTTTGCAAGAACAGCTACAACGGAGGTTTAAGGTAGATCTTTCTAGGATGAAAACATTTAGGGCAAAATCTGAGGCTCTAAACCTTGTGCAAGGAGATTTCGTTACTCAGTATAGTTTACTCAGAGATTACATTGTTGAGTTGCAAACTCGTAACCCAGATACGACTGTTAGGGTTGATGTTGAAAGCGAAGGAAATCCACACAGTGAAACGAGGACATTCAGACGCATTTACATATGCTTGGGAGCTTTAAAGA